CTATGAACATTGGTGTGCATATATCTACTCGTGTTATGGCTCATATTTCTTGTGGGTAAAGACCAAGTAGAGGAAATGCTGGGTCATAAGGTATTTCTATTTCCAACCTTCTGAGGAAGCGCCATATTGCTTTCCAGAGAGGTTGGACCATTTTGCAATCCCACCAGCAATGCAGGAGTGTCCCAGTCACTCCACATCCCTGCCAGCATTAATTGTCCTCTACTTTTTTGATCTTTGCTGTTATTGCGGGTGTGAGATGATAAGGACAGATGACTTCTTAAAGACGTTTTTGGCAGTCACACATGGATGAGCTGGAAGTGGGGCGGAAAGGGCATTTATGTGGACATCGGAGGCTGGCAGCCCAGGATGGTGGGTGGCAGTGGAGAGAAGAAGAAACAGGAAATCTTAGTCATCTTTAAATGTGAACTCAGATATGGGTGGTTGGCATTGTGGCGTGTCATGAGGAATGGTTGAGGCTAACAGTCCTTGAATCTTAACTGAGGTGCAGTACTGTACAACCACGGGTCATATGGAAAAAAAAGCCACCTTGAATCTGTTGTACCTTTGCATACGAGCAGCTGTTTTGACTTTGTGCTGTTAGGGTTCATGATTATCCGCCCAGTATTAGAACAGGTGCAAGTTTCCAAATAGTCACTGTCAGCAGAGTCCTGATTGTTGGTGTAGAACCTGGGTCCTTATGTCTTTTCACCCAGGTTTTGCTCCTTAGCTTCTTTGATTATCACACCATTCCCCTCAGGAGATGGAAGGTCAACCCAACTTCTGTCAGAATTGAAGCTCCAGTAGCCTGGGGCTGTGAGGAGGGTGGTAGTGCCACCTTGTCGAGATGGCAGCTGAGAACTGGAGGTGAAAGTCTGCCGTGAGAACCACTACATCACATTATAAAATACCCGCCGTTGTTTCTCGTGGATGCAATGTCCTTGTCTTTGTTTAATCTGTTTATAAATTTCAAATTAGATGAGGGAATTGCTTGTGGAGTATACTCACACATCTGCCTGCCTGCCCCATCAGTGAGCTTCACCTCCAGGTTTGGGCCTTGTGGTGGGTTGTCTTGGGGACCTGTATTGATTTGCTTCCTTAATTTGGGAGAGGGTCATGAGAATAGGCTGTACTCGCCTCCTCTCCCCCCCTCCCCAATTTTTTTTTTTTTTTTTTTAACTTGGGAAAGAAATCTCCATAATGGTGCTCCTCCAATTAGACAAGACTGCAGTGAGAAAGTGCTGCATTCGAGATCGGCGCAGATCAGCGATTCGGTGAACTGCGTTCCTGTACAGACTCAACAGAGGCCCCAGCTCTTCTCCCAGCCTCAGGTCTTGCTTTATTGTTTCCTGTCCAGAGAGGGCCAGCTGCTGCTCCGTCTCTTCCTGCCACTTTACTCCGTGTCTGCGGCAGAAGCCCCAGAGTGGACAGGAGAAGGAAGTGAGACTTCACATACAGTTGGCCACCCATTCTTGTTATCATTTCTTCAGTGACTTGATGGGTCGTGATGAAAAACCCGAAGCTAATGACAATTACTAAAGTTGTTGGTAAACAGAAGCCGGATACAGAAATGGCTTCCCAACTGTGGTAACAAAATGTTCTGGAAATAGAGACAAATAAAGGCTGAGCTTGTGGAAGTACATACAGTTAGCGGTACATAACCAGTATGTTGTTATTGTTAAGAGCCGTCGAGCCGGGTCTGACCATTAGCGACCCTGTGTAGGGTTTCTGAGGAGCAGCTGGTAAGCGTGAACAGGCAAACTTGCAGTTCAGATGGCTTTGCAGTCTGGCACATTAACGCACAGCGCCACACCAGGACTCCACATAACCAGTGTACTTTCATAACTATCCTGTTTTATATGGAGTCTCGGTGTGGCACTGTGGGTGAAAGGTTGGCAGTCCAGACCCGCTCCTATGAGTGAAAACTGACTCAGTGACGCTTACAACAACAACGTTAACAGAATACATTCTCTCTGCTGCCTTGAGTCCTAAGGAGGTAGCACTGTGGTAATGTTCTGTTGTGATTTCCTCACATTCCTAAGTTCCTGTACCCTCTCGTTTGTTTCCATCATTCTATTTCTGCTTTCCATGTAGCCAACACATGTCCTTGGGGCAATGCTTTTTCATTTTAATGAACTTGAGGATTTCAGGATAATCTTTGAGCTACTTGAAATTATTTTAGGTTTTTAAAAAAGTTAGAAGCCGCTATAAAACAAGTACCTAAAGCTACCTTTAGGTCATATATTGACTACAGAATTATGTATTTTTCCAAATACAATTTATGGTTTTAAAATGGAAATTTACAATGCAGTCCTGGTGTGATTTCTGTAGGGTAAGCACTGGACTGCTAAATGAAAGGTTGGTGGTTCAAACCCACCAACTATTCCTCAGAATAGTGTTGCTATGAGCCGGAACCGACTCCCTAACACTTCACAGCAACAGAAGAAAGGAGAGGAAGCCTGGAGGCACAAGCAGTTTGATGGGCCCTGAACGTCGAGGCTGGTGGTTTGACCCACCCTGAAACTCAGCAGACAAAAGGCCCTGGTGGTCTGCTGCTGCCGAGATGCCGGCCAAGGAAACCAAGGGGCAGCTCTCCCCTGTGATGCCCGGGCCACCATGAGCTGACAGCCACTTGACACCAAAGCATTTAGGTTCCATAGGAAGGGCTGGACCAATTTTTAGAGGATTCGGTGAGATCTAGAAGAAATATTTGTCCTGAAAAATGAACTGAAAGGAAATGAGGACTTCATTATTTTTAATAAGGATATATATTTTTTAATAAGTAACTTTGTAGATAACATTGTAACTGTTCTGTTGAGGGTTTTTTTGCTTGTTTTTACAAGAATTGTGTCAGCTTTCCATGCAGAACACTGCATGGTTATTTTAAGAACAGTTGTTTTGTGTGAGAATGTCCTGTGTGTGTCTTTTTTTTTTTTTGTTTTGCTTGACTTGAAGACAATGTAAATGTTTGTATGAATATGCATATTTTGCGTAAAAGACTCATTTGTTGCTTAGTTTCTCATTATTTTAAAAGAAGTTTAGAATTAATTCTTCTCTTTCTCCTCAAGGCCTTGCTGCAGAGTTTGGAGTCCGCGGTTACCCAACGATTAAGCTGTAAGTGGTGGTGTGGACGTTTCTATCAGTTCGCTCTGCTTCACGTTTGCTACATGAATTCCTGCTAGCTTCCTTAGCAGCTTGAAGAGCTGAGGTCAGCATGCTTTGTAGGTGCAGCATGTCATCAAAAGGGAGGGACCGGTGTCCTGGTGCTTTTCTCACAGTTACCTTCAGTTGCTCCTCACTGTTAGAGCTCTACCCTCACAGCACGTGTCCACTGTGACAGACACTGGCCTGGCAGACCCAGGGCACACCGTCTCCGAAAGGTATCCATTCGCTAGCAGCTCACAAGCGTATTGTGATGTCTGTCTACCAGCAAATTTGACTTTGGTGTAATTAAACTAGACTTCTTCATTAGACATAAAAGAAAACAAGGAGAATCCACAGTGGATATAGGTGCTAATCAAGTCTAAATGCAGGGCCAAAACAGCAGGAATCAATGTAGTGTAATTCTCTAGGCCTCGCATTAGAACCCTGAGTCTTGTGAACCTTATTTTAGGGAGCTGGGGAATGAGCTGGACAGCTACTTGTGTAATAATCAAGTACACTGTTATGTATTCATCTTCAGATTTGACTCATTGTAATGTTTTTCTTTCTTGGGTTTCATATAGAACTTCCCTCCACTTTTTAATACAGGGTCTGATCAGCCCCTTTTATGCTCTTGTGTTCAGTACACTTTAAAAAAAAATGGTTTAGTTGTTTAATTGCCTGTATCCTGTCTCAGTCTCACAATTTGTAGGGTTTTTTTTTTGTTGTTGTTTGTTTGTTTACTTCTTATTTTTTTAATTTAGTTAATTAGACATTGAAATGAAGTCCTTGTCATGCTTTTGGAAAGTTCCGTCATTTTCTGGAAGAGCTTGTTTTGTGTATCCGTTTCCTCTGATTTAGAAGTATCAAGATTGGCGTATAACGTGAGGTTGTATTAATATGTGTTTTGTTACAATCACAAGGCTCTTAACTCCCCTTCCTGTATGTTTTGTAGGGAGATTAAAAGCATTTAAATGCCCAAGACTGGGGTGGATTAATCCCTTTTAAGATGTCACAGACCCAGTGCACAGATGAGGAGTTCTGTGCGTCCTAGGACACAGTCCTGTATGCCAGGTTGCCCTTGTCTCCTGTATGTTACGTAGTAGCTTCTGATATACCTCCTCTGCACTGAGTCATTTTCTGCAGTAATAGAGACTGATTTAGTGTTAAATATGAAGATAGTTTAAATAGCTTTTCTCTTTTTTTCCCTTTTTCCTATTGAAGATTGAAGGGGGACTTGGCATATAACTACAGAGGACCTCGGACTAAAGACGACATTATTGACTTTGCTCACAGAGTTTCTGGGTGAGTTGGTGGAGGGTAAGGGCCTTTTTTGACAGACCGTGGGATCTGCAGAGAGAATGCATTTTGTGGACCCTGTTTTGCAGGGTCCATCAGGGACTTAGCTAATAAAATGTGTGTGTTTGTGTGTGTATTTCGTTATTTAGAAAGATTAAAGCATCCAACGGATGCTTTAAAGAAACTGAAAGATAAGCTTCTCTGTATGTACTGGTTAACCTCACACTGAATTTCAAAGGAAAAAAAAACAAACAAACATTTTCGCTAAGGGATTTTTAATACAGTTTTAAAGTTTTTGGATGATTGTAACAGCTTTATAAATCTAACTTTTTGGTTTATGATAATTTTAATTTTATACTACCTAGTATCATAAGGACCAAGAGACAGTTGTTCGAACAGAGCATGGGAACACTGAATGGTTTAAAATTAAGACACTTGTACAACAGGGTTGTATTCTTTCACCATACTTATTCAACCTGTATACTGAGCAGATAATCTGAGAAGCTGGGTTCTATGAAGAAAAACGTGGCTTTAGGATTGGAGGAAGACTCATTAACAACCTGCGATATGCAGTTGATACAACCTTGCTTGCTGAAACTGCAGAAGACTTAAAAAAATTATTGATGAAGATCAAAGAGCACCACCTTTGGTACGGATTACGTCTCAATGTAAAGAAAACGAAAAGCCTCACCACTGAATCAATAAACAACATACTTATCAACAGTGAAAAAATTGAAGTTGTCAAGGACTTCATTGTTCTTGGATCAACTATCAACACTCATGGAAGCAGCAGTCAAGAAATCAAATGACATATTGCATCAGGCAGATCTGCTGCACAAGACCTTTTGAAAGTGTTGACGAGCAAAGATGTCAGTTTGAGGACTAATGTGCACCTGACCCAAGTCATGGTATTTTCATATATATGTGAAAGCTGGACAGTGAATAAGGAGGACCATAGAAGAACTGATGCTTTTGAGTTATGGTGTTAGAGGAGAATATTGAAAGCGCCATGGGCTGCCTACAGAACCAACAGATCTGTGTTGGAAGAAGTGTAGCCAGAGTGCTCCTTGGAGGCCAGGATGGCCAAACTTCGTCTCTCATACTTAAGACATATTGTCAGGAGGGACCACTTGCTGGAGAAGGAGATCATGTTTGGTAAGGTGGAGGGTCAGAGAAAAAGAGGAAGAGACCCCCCCCCCCAGATGGATTGCCCAGGTGGTAGCATCGATGTGTATCAAGTGTGGCAACGATTGTGAGGTTGGCCCAGTATCAGGCAGTGTTTTGTTCTGCTATGCATAAGGTCGCTATGAGTCGGTACTGACTCAGTGGCACCTAAAACAACAGTGTCATAAGGAAGGAGTTCGGGTAGCATAGTTGTTACAAATTGGGTTGCTATCCTTAGGGTTGGCAGTTTGAAACTACCAGCTTTTCCACAGGAGAAAGATGAGGCTTTCTTCTCCTGTAAAGGTTTACAGCCTTGGAAACCCTGTACAGGGTCGCTGTGAGTCGGAACTGACTCCACGGCACATAGCCACCACCAGTGTCTTTACTTTTTCTTGTTACCAGATTTCAGAGTTGTGAAAGAGACCATAGGTAGTAATTTTCTGAATGAATTTGAACTTTACTAACTAGCCCATGGAGTCCTGGTGTGGCGCTGTGTGTTAATGCGCCAGATTGCAAAGCCATTTGAACTGCAAGGTCGGTGGTTCAAGCTCACCAGTCACTCCTTGGAAACTCTATACAGGGTCACTGTGGGTCGGAATCGACTCGACGGCACTTAACACTAACAACCTAGCCCACGATACCAGAAAATGCTTTCTTTTGAGATGTAGCTAAAATACTCATCACACGCTACTTTATCACATGCTGTATTTGGTTGTCTGAGAAGTAGTATTGCATTATTTACTTAGAGCAGAGCATTTTAGACCCAAAGTTTCTCTGCGGTATAGGATCGCGGTGCATAAGGTTGCTATGAGGTTATACTGGGATGAAACGTGTTCTTCTGTAGAGCATTTCTTGTTGGTTTTCATCTGTATCTGCCTGGAGCATAAAGACAGTGTTTGATTAGTTAATGTGATTGTGCGGAACTTCTTGACGAGGACAATTATCAAGATAAGTTACCCACTGTGGGCTAAGAAACAAACTGAGAGCAAAATCATGAGTTTATTAGAACATATTCTGTTGATACGTTTAAATATTTCTAAACCAAATTAAATGGATTTGTTGGGTGGCCGTCTAATACCTTACTGAAAAATTTTGAAAACAGACACAGAACTAAAGATGATCTTCATGTATTAAAGCTTGCCGTAGATTGCTGGCTTCATTCTCTTCATTCGGTTTGTAAGTGAATTTCAGGGGAGCATTAACAGTAGGAGAGGCTTGCTAGTGGTATACATTCATCCCCTCACGTGCATTTGTCTTTGTGTTGTGGCAGTGAGGTTCCACTGACTTGAGGAAGGCCTTCTCCTGATGTAACTGAAGGTAAAATGAAATTTCAAGAGTCAGTTCTGGAGTTTCATCATCTACTGGTTAATTACTAAAGTATTAAAATAGGAACTAGAGAAAAGACTGCTGCAATGCATCTAGCATTCTGAATTTTGAAAGTATGTTTGCCTTTACCACATATACATGGCTCCTTTTGTAAATCTGGTGATGGAGCAAAATGCAGCAATATGAACCATGTTTGAAAGAGGCCTGCGGGTGTTGTAGTTTTATCTTCTGTTTTTGTATGTAACATCCTTGGATGTAATTCAGTTGTCAGTTTAGTCTAGTTGCTTTAGAGATTTTTTCTCTTTTTATTGCTGTGGAAATATATACAGCACATTTTCCAGTTCAACACTTGGAGAGGTCACATTACTGACCCGTGCATCCACCACCCGTGTCATAACCAAATTTCCTGCCACAGCGGCAGAAACTCACACTTCCCCCCCAGTGACTTCCCTTTGTCTCTGAGCCCTGCCAGCCACTCCTAAACATTGTTCTCCATATAGTTGCCTGTTCTTGTTAGTTCCTGTCATTTAGACCACGGGACGCTTGTCCTTTTGTGATTGATTGACTTGCCTAGTGTGAATCGTGCACTGTTGAACTTGGTGCCCATGATTCTATTGTCATTGCTGCTTTAAAGTCTCTTGAGTAAAACAGCTAGGAGTGGTAGTTCTTTGCTTAACATGTTGGGAGCTGCAGCGCTGTTTACCACAACTGGCTGTCCTTTTTTTTTTTTTTTTTTCCTTTTAATTCCTATCAGCAGTGGATGATGGTTCCAATCTCCCCACATCCTTCCTTCCCAACAGTTGATATTTTCTTTATATATATATTTTTCTTTATCTTAGCTGTCCTAGTGGGAATGACGTGGAGTTTCACTGTGATTCTGATTTCCATTTCCCTAATGAGATCCCTGGTGTGGTGCTGTAGGATAAGTACTGGACTGCTAACTGCAAGGTCAGTGCTTCAAACCTACCAGTTGCTCCTTGGAAGCCTTACACAGGGAGGGTAGCTGTGAGTTGGAGCCCACTCAGCGGCACTTAACATTGAGAGCCCTGGTGTGACGCTATAAGATAAGCATTGGACTGGCAACCACAAGGTCAGTAGTTCAAGCCCACCAAATGCTTTCAGAAACTATATACGGGATTGCTATGAGTCCAAATAGACTTAGTGGCACACAGTAGCAACAGCAATGGCTAATGAAGGAACCCTGGTGGCACCTTGGCTAAGCACTTGACTGCTAAACCAAAGGTTGGTGGTTTAAGCCCACTAGCCCCTCCAGTCTGCTTCTGTGAAGATTGCCACTGTGCACCCTTGGAGCAGATGCGCTCTGCCTCGCAGAGCTACTGTGAGGGATCACGTGACATTGGGCATCTTTGACTGTGCTGATAGCCCGTTTGAATATCCTCCTTTGTATAATTTGTAGTCAAGTCCTGCCCATTGTTTCACTAGGTTGTGTGTCTTTTTGTTGTTAATTTGTAGAATTTTAAAAAACACGTTAGGTACCAGACCATTACTGGATATATGTATGGACCCTTGGATGCACTCCCACGGTGTAGGCTGCCCTTTTCAGTTTTGAGAAAGTGGTGAAAGAAACTTTTTCATTTTTATGAGACCTTGTCTGTGTTATCTTTTGTTGTTCATGTTTTTGTTATTGTTGTTTCTATTAGAGCGAATTTTTTGTCCTACCATCTTTTATTTTTCCTGAAAAAAAATTTAATAACATGTTTTGAAACATTTTAGGTTTTAACCTCTGGAAGATACTTAAAAACTATATAGCTTTAGCAGGTGGGGCTTGATAGCGGCTAGGGTAGAGGTGCAGGGAAGTTCGCCATCAGTGATACCACAGAATACCAGGCAAAGCAGATCCAGGGCAGAGCTCCAAAACTCAGAAGCACAGAGATAGGAATACTTACAAGGTTTGAAAGCTTAAAGCTAGCGGAACTTGAAGCTGAAGTAAAAAATCACATACTTTTGAATCTGCCAGGCTTGGAGGCCCTGAGCCAACAACTTGGGTGAGACCAAACAGTAAGACCAAGTAGGGGAGCAGACATACCACGGAAAACACTGTGAGAACCTCAGAGCAAAGATGGACAATACACTGTCCATTTTGCTTTGTTCTGATTTTTTTTTTTTCTAGTATCTGTTCATTGTCCCCCACCCCCCCACTGTTTGCACACCTCCATTCTGGTGACTAGATAGGGTGCCTGAGTGAGTGGACACCCTCCACCCTCACCACTAGTGGGTTCTTCTACCACACATGCACACAGATACTCTCAGCACACGAGCTGGCCCTGAACTGCTTTTGTTTTTTGTTTTTTTGTTTTAATACAGGAAAGGCCAGGACAGTGGTGTGTAGAGAGGAAAAGAGAGTGTAAAAACAAAACAGGCTGAAAATTAAATTCAAGCCTCAGGTACAGCATAACAGCCAACCGTGGCATCTTGAAATCTCTCAGACAGCTTTGAAGGCAAGAAGCGGAAGAGAGGACATTAAAGTCATACTCATGTTAGGCTACAGATTTTTT